CAACATCACATTAGAATACAACAATTCCAGGAATTATTAACACAAATGGACACAATACAAAGACAATCAATTGACCAAAACTTACGCAAACTTGCCGAAACCGCAGGATTTGCAGACATCTATACGCAAGACTATAGCGGATATTTTAAAGACATTAAAGATTATATATATCTAAACGGTGAAAAATACCGTCCCCAAGATATATCACCTATCAATATTTTTAGCTTTGTTACACTCAAGAATGAAATTCTTGATTTTCTAGGATGGCCCTACTACATCTTAGAAAAATTAACTATTTTATACGCAATGTTTAACTTTATTGGATTTCTTTTTTCACTCTTAAAAGGAATCTATAACACATGTGCTATACACACACAAGTCAATAGACAAGCAAGTGTAGCACGCATACTATTTGCAGGATTTTTTGGAATATTTTCTACATCTATAAACAAAATTCTTTTAGACGCACAAATAAAAGAATATAACACAAAAATAGCAACAAGACAGAACACATACGACGAAGAACATAACAATGCAGACACAACACCAACAGCACCACAGTTACCACCCCTACCACATAACCATCCATTATCCCTAGTCCCACGTAATTTTCGAAATTTAGCCATAACACATAATAATTTTAGACCAACCATATCACAAAGTCCCATCCAACATATAATGCCACACCACTCACAAGATGAAAATACTTATGAACAAATTATAGAACAACCCCATACCACCGCTTTTCAGTCTCAAAATAATAATTTTTTTAGCCCACGATGAGCCGACAACTTGGATCCCTACACCGATCAAATTCCCACCCAACCAACCTCACCACTCCAATCCCAATAATACCACTTTTTGCTTTTCCGCCACCCGATTTCCCATCCAGTAATGTAACATCCGGCATGAATTCCGATACTAATTCACACATCTCAGTTTTATACTCCATCTCACAACTCAATAACCCGAATATTGAAACCCCCGATGAATTTGCCGACTCTGAACCATCTCCATCAAATAATTTTCACACCAATCCCTTAAATTTTTCCCAACCCCCTTTTCAACCCATACTACCAAATAACCCTGACCCAACCAATTCTACACCCTCTTATGCTTCCCAAGTCACTCCAACCTACTCCTCACTTCACTCAAACCAATCATCTCATTCTTCAGACACCCCCCGAATCTCCCCAGAACTAGATAATTTCATTACCCTACAACAACAATCCTATCACCTTGACACCCCAACCATAAACCAAATCTCATCCACAATAGATTCATCCAACCCTCCTACCCCTACACCCTCTTCAATTTATACTGATTCATTAGCACCATCATCCACAACTACTGTATCTTCACTCAGCACTAATAGAGCTTACCGCACTTTTAAAAGGAAGTTCCCCAACCATCCTTTCCCAGCGAAACCAGGAACAGCCCGTGAATATATCAACCATCCACAACACACTAACACAAAAGAATTTTTAGCTATCACCTTACCCTCATTTCCACAATACACCTTAAACACCCCTCATGACACTAACGAGACACGTAACTTTGTAGACGAATACGTTTTAATGCCTACCCTTCCTTGGACCTCATATTATCATTTTACAAATCCCCTTTGCTTACCTTTATCTAACACTCATATCGATATAGAACGAAATAAGGACATGCTATATCGACTCACTACACCACTAACACCTAGACAATTTACTTACATTGGATACAAAAAATCACTAAAAACACACACTGCACCCCGAGCTAATGATTATACACTAGAATATTACGATCATAACATCATCAGAACTAACCAAGATCAATTCTTAGACGACGATCGCTTCGCTAACCCACAAATCACCGAGAAATTTTTCATTAAAACACCATATGTATTTACACTAAATATCTTCGATCGCAAGTTTGACCACATTATCTCAGAAGCACTAACAGACACGCAAGCCTACGAAAGTTTTAAAGAACGCTTCCAAATACTTTCACTAACCTTTCGTTTCCTTGCACCACATGAAAGAGATTTGCACTGCTCACACGATATTATGTTGCGCACTAAACAAACACACACATATACTTATTATCGTTTCATCCAAAATCACTTTGACCTACACACTCCCTCCAGACAACCACACCATCGTTTTCAATTCATCAATTCCAAATACACCTCACCATTCTTTCTTAACTTCACATATTGCATTAAAGATACTAACCTTCATGGTATTCTTCGAAATTATGATCCCATAACCCAAATGTATATCTTTTGTCCCATCACCAAGACCTTCAACGCAGAAGAATCCCGACCCTTCCTCATCCCACACGAGTTTGTACAACCTATAGAAATCCCCATTTTAGAATTCATCCATAACACTAAATTCAACCACAAATTATATAATCTAATCCAAAACACACCTTATGAATTTGCAGTTGGCACTGAAGAACTAACCACCATTAAGGCACTTCAATTGCTTTGGCCACTGCTTCAAACTAAAAATATCATCCGCATCTTAGCCAAACTACTAACAACTTCAGATCTCATCCACGACATTTTCCCCCACGGTTTCTTCCCCGACGACTAACAGGTAAGTATGAATTATACATATTACTATTTAATTCAAATATTAGAAACTCACCATTCTTTATCCATGTTTTCTTTAGAATTTTAGCCTTCAGCCTAGATCATCTGAAAAATTCACAAAAGAAAAATAAAAAATAGCAAACTTCTTCAAAACTGTTTAAGACCCTATTAAATTTTTGCACCAACAATTAAATAAATATAATACCAATGCAGTAAATTAATTTATAAATTTTTCCGCCACCAGCAGTAAATCTAATAATGATGAAAATTTGTAACTTAATTTCCCCCAACAACTAGCAGTAAAATTAAAATTCTATGTAGTAAATTCATAAGAAGCAAATGCAGTACTAACCTTTTGATATTTTCATTCACTCGCATAAAAATTCTATCCAAACTCGCACAGCTCGCCCACGAAGAATTGTTTAAAATAATGAATTTCAGTTCCAAGCTTTCACACTCGATAACTCTAACACAAGATAACACGTTTCAAACTTTCCTTTAACCCGGTTGGAAAGGAATTATATACTAAACAAAACTAACCAATGCAGCTTACTAAACACCAAAACACATAGCATAACAGCATGACTAAGAAAAGGAAACCAACGGTACCCAAACCGGATTAACCCAGTTTAAAACTGGATAATTTATTCTTTTGAAGACTATTATAAAGTCTAAGAAAGAAATAATAAAACACAAAAAAGTCGAAAGACAAACCCATACCACAAACAATTTGATTTTTGAAAAAAGGACACAACCAACAAAACATAAGAAAAACCACAACAAACCCAACATAAAACGTTGTCACATAACAGGACCTCTCACAAAAACCGCATGCAATCATACTCCCACTCCTGGCCTAACCCACCAGGAAGGACGTCCTGAGCATGCTCTATAGCCGGCCTAACCCACCGTGCTACATCCACGCTTTGTGACCACACTCCTATTTTTAATAAGAGCTACTCAAGGGTGAGTAACTCTTCAAAATAACTGAACTAAAACAAAAAGCTTTTGTGAAAACAACTAACTAAAATCATAATTAAAAAATATTAAACTAATAAAAGTTTTATAAAATGTAAATTACATTATGCAATACATAGATCAGAATACAACACCAAGGACGAACATCCAAAGACAAAACGACCCTACTACACTCGAGAAAGAATGGCCAACTACAATCAATATGCCGCCCACAATCACAACTCAAAGGATTTAGAGTACGACTTGACTTCGCAGAAAAGGACTTCATTGAACTAGACCAATGACCACCTCGATGTTCAAGTATACGTACAGATCCGAGTAACCAGGCATCCCCTCCACGCACAATCTCCACGCCATTCCCAGACAAGGTCAAACACAAAGAAGTTCTCACCAATGAAACAGAAAAACCTGACATAGCCAACCATTCTGAAATCAGATTTGAGTTTGTTGCGAAAACCCAGTCATTGTCTTGAGAAGACACAATGATTGAATCTGGGACTTCTCTAATAAGAAAACCCAGAAGAAATAAGATGTTCGCCAAATACCAACGTCCATCATACATCTTTCGAATTGCAGAAAAACTATTCTAAAAAACTCTGTAAAACCCGGATGGGTGGAACCTGATCTAAACTACATTTTATGATTGGATAAATTAGATATTTTACCAATGTAAAGTATTTAATATTAACCAATCATGATCCATCTAACTAACAATCCACTTATTTGTAAGTGCTGAAATTACTTGTAATTTCAGCACCAGAGAGATTTGAATTTAACTTAGAAATTAGTTGAACTCTCCCGAGTACTTCAGCAGCCGCAATAAACCAGGATACCCTAGATCTATTGAGCCTAGCAGAGACTAGTTAAACAACCTGAGACTAGATAGTATAAGAGTAAGATTAGGATCGGTATTAGACTAAGAAGTTGCACGAATCTATCCGGCCGAAAATAAGATAGCGTGACGAGCAGACGGTGTACCCTATCCGAAATTACTCTATGAGTTATACCCATCGGACCTAACTCATAGTTTACAGCATGCTGAGAGTCTTCACATCAAATCAGCAGTTTAAAGTTGAATTGTCTTAAATATCAATGTTTTTGAATTTGAGGCTTGTCTCTGAGTGCTGAATGTGTGTATGGCTGGTTATATGGCTTGAAAACTGGCTGATTTATTGCTGTAGATCAATAACGCAGGGAGAAAAACACGGACCAAGTTAACATCCTCCCCCCTAAACACGTTTAGGGGGGAGGGTGTTAACTTGGTTCTAAATTGGGAATTTTCAGCCAATCAAATCGAGCATTTTACATGCAGCGCTTAGAAAATTTAATTTAATTTAATCACTGGGGTGGAGGATCTTAACTTGGTCTATTTGGGGGGAGGATGTTAACTTGATCCAAAAACACTTTCATTCAAGTCTAATAAGGTTTAACTTACTCAAACCAGAAGCCGTCACCACGCTATCACTGCTGTAATAATAAACAGAATCCATTTAATGAAAATTAGCACCTAAATCCGATAAGTTCAAAGTGAATTTTATAATCAATAACTCAAAAGAATTTTAGGAAATTAGGACTAGAATCACATTTTATGAAAAACTAGGCGTGAACGATTTATGAAGGATAGCCAGGTGGTTTGCTTTTTTTTGGAAAATATTAAATGAAATTTGAAAGAAGTTGTAAGTTAATGCGACATACTCCTATTTTTTCTGATGATCGGATGGATTTAGAAGCAAAATGAACTTTGTTTTTGATTTCTAGTTCATATGTCTTAAGAATGAGTCAGAAATTTATACTGTTGTTTTTAGATCTGTTCATACGGATCTGAAAAAAGATATGAAAACACACCTCAGTAAAATATATATAAAGATTGAAGCTAATAATGAATCATCTATAGTTTGCAAGTTGATATATTAATCAGTTTAACTCAATCTCACCTTTTTATTAAAAAACTATTTGCAAATAACAAGATATTATACTACATTTTGTGTATAACTTTGTGTAGAATCGCTAGCAAAAATCGCATGCACTTTGACTAGCAAAAGTTGTGTGATGTTCATGTGGTCATAATACAATCTGATTTGAAAAAGCTTCAATCGACAGTTAAACTATTCGTCTAAGTTATTCGCAATTTTCTTTCGGAGCGTTTGACTAGCGTGAAGCTCAACTAGCAAAGAACCGTCTTTAAAAAGAGATAATGTGAATTTCACATCTGAATCATCAGCAACAACGTTTGAACACCTTAGAAAGAGCAAAATTCAAAAATTCTGCGTGACAAGTTTTTAAGATTTTGAAGGGAAACTCTTACGTTTCGTCAAGGACGTGCTAATTTTGCAAGCGTGTTTAGTGCAGTCATCAAAAGTTTCAATTAAAAATAAACTTGAAAATATACTTTTCGGCGATGATGTTGTTATATCAGTCTCAATGAATTAAGTAAGTTTAAAAAGTTATACTGGTTAGGCTAGTTTATCTTTTATGCTAGTTGATATTTGATATATCAAATCGTTACTATAGCCAGAGAGCAAAATGCGACAGGTATATACAATCACGAGACCATATGGTCTAAGAGTAATTTAAGAAGTCCAAAATTCATCATGACTAACGCCACTTAGATGGCTTTTAAATTCTATTCTCATTAGCATATTTACCTCATCTGCACTATGTAATTCATTTGGACCAAACTTTTTCGTCAAATGATGAGCAGGTAAGAATTTCATACCTATAATCGGATGAAAAACACATTTGGTGTTTTGTACAGGCTTGTTTTCCTTCTTAAATTTTTTTTTACAATTAGTGAATTCTCAAATCACATCTTAGGTCATCTGTAAACAATCCATCAATTCGCAGGAAGAAAACTCTCAATCTCATTTCCCAAACAATAAATTATCAAATATTTTATTAAAAAACTGATACAATCCAAAAAAAACTCGGATTCTGCTTAAGACTTCATTCCTAATAGCGTGAACGCACCTCCGGCGCTTTGATTTTTTAAAACTGATAAAAACCAGAATATATTGGAAATAAGCCCCCATTCTGTGTTCTGAAAATTTCTGAAAAAATCACAAAACACATCATATCTGAAAAACTACAAAGTTTTGAGCAGTCATATTTGGAGGCAAAGATCGCAACTCCTGAGAGTACCCTGTCAGAGCCTCACTTCAAAGATGAAAACTTCAAATTTTGTGAAATTTATTTTATATCTAAGTTCTTTGAAAAACTTTGAAAAAAAATCCTAAGAAACGTCATACCTCGAAAACTACAAAGATTTGAGCACGCATATTCAGAGACAAGATTCGCAACCCCTGAGAGTACCCTCACAGTATCCAACAATAAGTTTGAGATCTTCAAACGTTTCTGAATTTTTTAAAATCTAAATTTTTTGAAAATGTTTGAGAAAAGAATAAAAACGTCATATCTCAAAAACTACAGGGATTTAAGAACTGAGGTTTGGAGGCAAGATTCTTCTACAGGGTTAAGAATTTCAAATTTTTAGAATTTTTTTAAAATCAACTTATCTAGAAATTTATAAAAACAATCGAAATTCTCTATTTCTCGTTAAATAAAAGGATTTAGTTATTCATATATGGAGGCCAGAATAGCAAATTAACCTCTGAGTTTAAACTGGAGAATTGAGAAAAAATCTTAACCATTGCAATATACGATATAGGTTAAACGTGCGAAAATTCTTTTGTAAAACATGCAAAAATGTTACGTTGAAAAAGCTTACACATGGCGAGATAGTTAAGCCCGCATTTAAACATCAAATAGATTGGAAAAGGTGGATACAATACACACGTAACAAAAACCATTCAATTAGCAGAAAAAAGTTATTAAGGTCCAAAAAAATTTGAGGTAGCAAGTGGTTATTTATTCTATGAAAAAAAATTTCAGTGGTAACTGCAATTCCTAAATCAGTTCGTAATAAAATTTCATAAGAAACAAGAATAGCCATTCTGACCGCACTGTATTTCCAATGAATTACATTTAAAAATTATTCTTCTTTGTTTCAATGTTTTCAATTTTAACTTTTTTAAATTCTACGAGGAGGGACTGCTACCAGTGGTATCTTTTAGAATGAAGAAAACAGAGTGTGAGAAAATCTGAACTCATAAACTACGAACAATGGTTTTTCTATCAGTATGTAAAAGTAGCTTGTGAATCGCATTCAACGAATCAACACACTCACTATATTGTGACATTTTAGATCAAGCACTATGGCTGACCTTGGTCGGGACCAGCATAACATCATATACTTTATAGACTAATAGTTAATAGACTAATCGGCTACTGCCCTAGCAGTACCACATTCCCCCGATATACTTTTCAAAAATTTTAAGCGCTTTTCCCGGCAGTCTTTTTGGGTCCTTTCGAACAACCTCCGTTTTCTTTTCTGTTATTTCTGTGAAACCAAAATTTTCCGAAAATTCCAACTCTCGTTTTAGTTTTGTTTTGGTTCCCACTATCTCGCTCATGCTCCATGCTTTTTTGCAATTCGTTTGCTCCCAGGAATTTGAAACACTGGTCTTCTCTCTCCTTGCGATTTGAAATTTGCTGTATGAACAGTGGACTGACTTCCCGGCTTGCTTGTTCCTTGCGCACAATTTTCATGTTCTCTCGGCTCTGATCATGGCGTCGTTTGAATTGAGACGCCAAGAGTGCTGACAGCTCCAGATATTGTTTTTCCTAAAGTAGCAGAATTTGTCAAGAAGTGATCCCTTAAAGAATTGAATCCGTTTTTGGCAGTCGACCAAGCATAGCTTTGAGCGGTGTTCTGCTAAACATTAGTCGTTTAGCCCATCTTAAGTCGAATTATCGTGATCAAACTTAAGTTAATTGCTGGGAAATTTTCTTCCAAAAGCATATTCCCCAATCTTAGTTTTATCGTTTGTATTGACCGTTCAGCCAGGCCAAATCCTCAATGATTACCTACTGGGCAAAAGATTTTTCAGATTGATTTCCCTTGAGCTCCGCGAAATGGTCTAATCTAAACATTTCCGACATTCCGTGCGTATCTAAATGACTTCTGAGGAATTTGACCGAAGCTTTGCTACCGGTAGATTTAGTTATTTTCCCAGAGGGAATTTCGGAAAACGACCCATCGCTAGCAACAGAAATATTTCTTTCTCTGTGTTTGTTTCAATCGGACCTGCGTAGTCCAGCTGACCTTCCTGACCGGGCTGTGTTAACAGCGGCAATGGTTTTGAAACATTTTCTGGATTTAGATATTTTTTTTGTCGTTCTTCTCAATTGCCCGTCTCAACCTGTCAAGCCAAGTGCGCTCCGAGATTAATTCTGCGAGCAGATTTCAATCAAAAATTCTTAGCTGTTCCGACCGTTGATGTTTGTCTTTTCGTGACATGCGCTAAGATGACACCACTTGCACTGCTAACACTTGTTGATCGTCCTCCAGTTGAAACGAGACCGCTTGTATTTACTTGAGTTGTGCCACATTCTGCTTCCTTGGGTCGTTATTGTTACTATCCGTTTCCTCACAATCCTTTTCGGCCAATATCGTCAGCGACTGAGATTTTACGCTCTGTTTGTTCGAACTTAGTCCCGCATAAGTTCAGCAAACGACTTCATGTCTGTTTTCCGATTCGTCTCGTCGCCTTTGGTCCGCTTATGCTCCTGACTTTGGATGGCAATTTCAATTTAGCTCCCTTATTTCTGCTTGTTTCTTCTCGCATCGGCGAGCTTTCTTCAATTCCTGGGTCGTCTGTCTCCGTTTCTGCCTCTCCACTTGAATTATTCAAGCTTTTTGAGAACGTGGGACTCGGTACTTTTACCCTCCTGGTGAATTCAACTCTCGATTTTTACGATTTTTCGTTAACTGAATGCTTTTGCAGAAATGTGAGAAAGTGTTTGATTCTTGTATTCTTTGATTTCCAGTACATCCGTTTTTTTCCGGTCGAGCTTTGCTCGGTTTTTGACCGCTCGGTTGCCAGAGTAAGTAAATTCGTCATGATGTGTTCGAAACCATTCTTGTACCGGATGAGCTCATTGCAGTCACTTGGTCGACTGCTAATGCAGCCTGGTGGAACGTTTCAATTGACACCACTACGCACTTTATTAATAATCTGTTTATTCCAATGGCTCCCCCGACGCAACTAAGATGTCATCTAGAAAAGAGAACGTGTTTCTTGCGTGATTTAGGGTACGCTTCATTGGTTTCTGGAACTCTGTCAGCAAGTCGGCCAGCCTGTAGAAACCTGTCAGAAAGCGGTATGTACCTGTAGCATTTCCCCCAAAAGATATTAAAGTTCCATTGATTGGCTGTTTCAGCAGCTAGTTGGCTGTATGCATACTTTAGATCTAGCAACGAAAAAACATGTTCTCTCTTTTTCTTCGGTAACAACCTGACTCACCCAATCTCATTTTTGGTCGACGTTTGGCATTTGATACTTACTTTTGTATAACTTTCTATTGATGGGGTTCGCTTCTATTGCCAATTTTATTGTATCGTCCTTTTTAACTGTAATAACAATTAGTGTTATAAAATAGTCGCTGGTACATTTGTCAAATTTTTTCGTATCCCTCTTCAAGCAAATTTTTTTAAGTGCTTTTCGACTTTTGCTTGAAAATGTATCGGGATACGTCTGATTTTTCCTGAATTGGGCAGAGTGGAAATTCAAGTACCGATTTAACGATGTGATGTTTTGATAATCCTTTGAGATCAAGGAGATTTTCAAACTTTCAGAATAGTTCTTATTTATAATCTCGCGCTTCCTCGTCCTCACATTGTAATATATCGAAGCGGGGTTTCGAGAGTTGTGCCATGTTTTGTAAAGTGGAAACTCTTAGCTTTTATTGCACATCTTATCCTAGGATATATCTTGCTTTCCTCTCTGTTATCAACAGAATTACGTCTGAGATAACCCACCCTGCTAATTTCGACGATTGTTGTGATTCCGACTTTGGTTATGGTTTAGCTTTGACTGCTTACCGTGGCTCGAGAGTAATGTCGAGATCCACAATTTACTTAACGGTAGCCGCCATTCTGAACTGGTCTAACCAAATTTTCATTAGCCATAGAGTGTCATTCAATCAAGGAATATCTATGTCCATTCTATTCTCCTAATTTCTATATCCTGTTAGCACCACCATGTGATATCACTTACAATGAGTAGAAACAGAGTGTCCGGAATACTGAATTCATAAAGTACGAACAGTAGTTTTTCTATGAGTATGTGGAAGTGGCTTGGGAATCGTATTTAATGAATCAACACACTGATTAATTTGTGACATTTTGGATCAAGCACCATGGCTGATCTTGTTCAGAACCGGCATTACATTATAGTATGTAAAATACTTTAAAAAACTAATTTGATACTGCAAGTCGAAACAAATGAAAAATAAACTGTTTACAAAAAATTTTTCTCGAGCAACAAGTTCTCTCTGCCGATTTCAATTGGCAATTTAAACCCTTATTAAGGTACCGTTTTAAACTACTTTGAATGATGCCACAACAACAGAATTGGGACAAAGAGAAAAATTATCATTAAATAACAGGCGCATTAAATGCGGGTTATATCGCAAGATACAAATTTTGATCAAAACTCCTATGTCATTTTGCTTAGATTCATTTGAATGGGTTGAAGCTTACAGGTTTTTGTCAACACTTGGGGCAAGATTTTGTGCTAAAACATGTTTTAAATTCAAATTTTTAAAGATGAACAAAATTTATTTTTCAGTTTTGTACAGTTTGTTAGCAATGATTTTTGACAAAACTTTTGACTCCGACTACCAATTTCTGCAAGCCATTAAAAATGAATTAGGAAGACCTAATCCTAGTTTTCCAAACTCTTAAAAGCTTACGTGAATTCAATATACCAACAAACAAAAACATTTATGATAAAATCAAATGATTTCAGAACAATTTCTGTCAAATTTTTTGAAGTCTAAACTAGTGAGCTACGTTTACCAAAACAAAATTTTATCTTTTGGACTAGTAGAAAGGAGTTCAAGATTTTCATTTAAAGCTATTGAAATGTAACTGCAATTAAGTGGAATTTTCTCGAGCTGCTGGAACACATGAAATGTCTTGCAGGCCAGTTTAAGAAAGGAATAGTTTTTTATTGCGCAATTTAAAGATGTTTTGTTTGCAAACTGAGTTCTCGATTTTTGTATACGAATTTAGTTTAAATTGAACCAAGCATCAAGTTTTTGAGAATCAAGGTTCACTATAGCCTAGCAAGCTTTCGGTTCTCCAGTTGTTATATTATGTTTTCGGTCCAATGAAAACTGTGCATCTCTTTCAGCAGCTCGAAAAAAACTCCAAACGATTGCAGTTATATTTCAATAGCTTTAAATGAAAATCTTGAACTCCTTTCTACTAGTCCAAAAGTTTGTTTTACTAAACGTTGCTCACTAGCTTCGACTTTTTTCTGCAATCATTTGATTTTATCACAGTTTTTTCTTTTGTTTGCATATTGAACTCACGTAAATTTTAAGAGCTTGGGAAACTTTTTTTCCTAATTCATTTTAAATGGCTTGCAGAAATTGGTTCAGCAATTGAAAATCTAGCTTTTCTATTTGACCGAGCCGCTAAGTCCATAGCGTCTGCAACTTTTTCTTCTGATTTACCTATTTGACCTGACCTTACAATTCTTCTGTCTTTTTGACCTTACAATTCTTCTGACCTTACAAGTCAATAGGGTCCACTATTTTTTTTTCTAGTTTACCTAATTCACCTTTCAATTCTTCTTCGTTCATTGTATAAGGGTCAGAACGAATAAAAAACTGCAAAAACGCCAAGGTAGCTCTATCCGCTCTTCTATTCTCTGTTTTTATTCCACTTTGATCTTTCGTTCTTTCAACTTTACAGGTAAGTAATTTTTGTTTTTTCCCCGAAACAAACAAAAAACACTACTCTGAAAATTAAGACCAAAACAAAAATACTGAAAATGTCCAATGCATTAAAATCAAAAGTGCGAGTAACAAACAGTTACTGTAATTTTGTACAAGCCTCCAACTTCCGTTTTTCGGTTATTCATTTCTGGTTTAGTTTTTTGTCAGTGTTTCAACTAAACAAACAATAAGGTTTCTGTCGGAATATGGATACTAATTAAACTGCGTTTTGTAAGTCATGTTTATTGAGCTTTCAACTTAGCAAAAACACTTCACGAAAATCACGAAAAAAAGTAACTCTTATATTTCTTAACTTAGTTAAGACATGTTAAAGCATTATAAGCTTATAAGTATGTAACACGCGCCATTAACTGCTTGTTATATGCAGGTCATTTTGCTTATATTTTTCGAATTGATTGCACAGCACAATTTTTTAGCACTTATTAGACCAACATTTGTGCTGAAATTTTAGTTCTAAATTATTTATTTTCAAAAAATATCAAAGCAATCGATTCTAAGTTTCAGACAGTTTTTCAGCATTAAATAAAAAAAAATGACCCCGGACAAAAATCATAACTACGACTTCGAAACGTCTTGAATGTCAGTTTCTTCAAAAAAACGTTTATTTTGTATTTATTATAGATGTATAATTTGAAACTGAACAGTTCCAACTTGTTTTCTAGTTTATTTTCTTTGGACTGCTTACATATAGAATAAAATCAATGCATGTCTTTAACGAGTGAAAAAAAATTCAACTAATTGCTGTTTGCTGAAAAAAATTTAAGAAAACTGCAAAGATTTACTTTAGTAGAAGTCGCTCATATCGTTTAGACACAGAGGCGAAGCGGAGCTTCACACCACTTGAGATACGGCAGAAAAACAGCACAACAGCTAGCAAAAAAAAATAGGAAATAAGCATTAGTAAACAAAATGAAAAAAAAATGTAAAAGAGAAAATTGATTTTTTTACGGTTAACTGGAATGCGGTTGAGTTTGAGAACAGATGCTGAGAAAATGAACAGCGAGTTTTCAATATGCATTGAAACTAAAATTCAAAACGGGGCGAAAAAAAGCTTCGCACCACCTGCGAATCGACAAACAAAAAACTTAAGTCGAAAAGAATTCTAATGTTGAAAAAACTAGTTGAACCAAAATTTGGCATGTCTCAGTAAAAACACAGCTAAGGCCCCAGCTAAAGTTGGAGATACGTGTTTGATATTGAATGAACTTGCTACACTGATGCGGCTCAAAAAATTAGTTACAAAAATTGGACTTTGGCGAAAACCTTTGTTGTTTCTTTACTAAAATAAGTGGAAGAGTAAAAAAGTTTTTACATTATCATTTTTCTTCCCAAGGAGATAGCAATTCTGTGACAAAAAATAAGTAGTCGCTGCTTCTACGAGAACAATTATTGCAACCGTTTCCGTCGACTGAACTTTTCATCTCAGATTTGAGTGTTTAAATTATAAGAAAATTCTAAAAGTTTCTTAAAAAAACGGTCAAAAGACTTTCCAAAACCCTTACAAACTTTCTGTCAAGAAATGACTATTTAAGCAGAGAAATTACCCAAAACCTGGCTTCTCAATTAAAAACAACTTAATAATTGTCACGGTAGTTTTCGCGTAAAGTCAAAAAGTTTCCGAAAAACTGTCAAAGTTTCAACACTTTAACTTGTTTGAACTCCATAACTTCTTTCTTAAACAAACTGGGCATAGCCAATTAAAAAATAGGCTTTCAACAGCCTGTTATTTCAATCAAAGCTAGGATATCAGATTTTGCAGAATGGTTAGCGAGAAAGTCCAAAAAATGGTCAACAAATCAGGCACTTAACATTTCCAAGAATCATAGCTTGTTGTCTATAAAAATAGATCGTAGCCGCTTTTGCAGATCGAATTCAAGCAACCTGTTATTTATATTGAACCTAAAATCTCATATGGGAGGGTAGTTGTCGAGAAAAGGCAAAAACATTGACGAAAAACTATCACAATACCAAAAATTTGGGCGTAGTCGCTTAAGCAAATGACCATTCCACAATCCGTGCTTTGAATTGAACCCGCAATATCAGATTTGACAAGCTAGTTTTCGAGAAAAGTTAAAAAGATTCACAAAACGGTCAAAAATGAAAAATATGACTATTCCGAGGGCCATAACCTAGAATGGTAGAAAACATGTATAGAAAAATTGTAAAACCGTTCTTTCCATCGAAACCAAAAAGTCAGATTTGAGATGGGTGGTTTTCGAGATAACGAAAAAAAATCAAAACTATAGGTCAGATATTCCCCCACAGACTTTATCGAAACGTGAAGACAGAGGGGTCAACTAAATAGAGACTCTCTGGGAAGTATTTGAAGTGATGACCCTTTTCTGAAAATCAAAAGAAGTTTCTAAAAACTGAAATTTTTCCAAAATATTTGAAAAAAATTTTCCATAGCGAAAAAATAAATTTAAACAAACTAATTGATAAATATACAACCAATTTGATAAGTGCGGAAGGAGTGTTAAAATTGTGTTTCTCTTGAAACGATCCAAAATTAGGTCATTGAGTAAAAAAGTATGGGCCGAAATAATTTTGGGCCGCTGACTTTAAAATGCAAACATGCTAAAAAATGTCTGTTGCCAGACGTTCTGATCTGCTGCCATCAGAACGGCCAAGCCAACTGATTCAATTGAATTAGTAAAACTAGTCGTTAACCCGAAAAAAGTCAACACTCCGATTTGATGACGCTTGCTAATGGCAAGCGTAATTAAGTACCATGACTAAAACTATTCGGTAATTAATCCTTTTGTTAGGTTTTCTTTTTTCTATATCGGAATAATGCAAAATTTTTCAAACGCTTGGAAAACGAATTCTTTCTTATGCATTTGCAACAGTTATATAAAGTTGTTCAGCCATTGGAAATCTCGCAGTACCATTTTTTGCAGGACCATTTCTGTGCATCAGGGCCAAAAAACTTAATTAACTGCAAGTTAAACCGTGTTCGAAAAATTGAGTTAAGTACATCTGTGATTATTTTTCTAGCTTTTGTTTGTTGCATTTTTTTCGGATTTTTAAATTTTCGAGTAATTCTATTTCCTTTCGCCAAACAAAAAAAATCAAGGTGAAAAAAAATGGAAACAATATGAATTTGGGGTATTATAAAATTTAGGGTAACTAAACGCCATATTGTTTTTAAACCATTGTTCTCATTGCAAACAATTGCTTATCAGCACTCAAAAAATTTATGAGTTGGAAGAAAAGAAAGAAATGAAGTTTTATGTGGATTTTTTGCGAGAAACTTAAATAAAAATTTCTTAAAGCTCACAGCAAAAATTTTATAACATTTAAGGATTTTTATCAAAAAAAAACTGGGATGACAGAATTAGGAAAATCTCTAAATAGAATTTTTACGCACTCTAAACAATTTAAAAAGAGATGATCAACGAAAAAGAACAACGATAGTAAGCTTAAACAACCAATGAATTCATGCCAAGCATCCAAGCAAAAAGAATTAACGCATCAGTCTTAGGATCTGTGAACAAGATTTAAAATTATTTTGGTCTATTTCAAAACTTGACAGAATTAAGTATTTCTGCATCCGCATTGATGGTAGACATTTTTTGAAAACTTTTTCATTTTTGGCTAACTTCAGCAATCGCAGGCAAAAAGCTGGTTTTAAGTAGCTCTTGAGGTGGGATATTCGATCTGCTCACCTGTAGTAACTGCAACAGTTTTTATCCTACTTAAAGTTATCCCATTTAATTTTTTTTAATTGTTTTCGGTTTTTCGAAGAATTTTAAATTGATTGCCAACCTTTTGTAAAAATCATGGCACAGTAACCGAGTAGTTTTGTTTATTTGTTTATTTGTTTATTTTCAGTGAAAGTTATACGGTCGATCTAAAACTTCCACAGCTTCTTCTGACCCTTGTAAATCGACTCTATTTGCCAAATGGTTCAAATGATGACTCTTTAATATACGATCTGATTAAAACGGTTAAAAAAATCCAAAATTCAATTAGCATTAATTATCAACCAAACTGTTCAAGTATAAAGGAAGAAATAATTTGCGAGACACTTCAAATATGCCAGGAATTGATCTATGCGATGAAGTTTCTGGAGCGTGCTTCCAAAAAAGCTGGGAAAAACTTCCAGTTTTCGACCAGTGATTTGGAGGATTTGGCTGAAATAACAGAAGTGCTGGATGAGTTAGCAGACAAGCTGGACGAATGTTCGAGATCAGAGTAAGCCCCATTTATGTTTAAATTCATTGTGAGTTATTTAAAATTACTAATATCAATTGCCCAGACTTTTATAGGGTTAAATGTTTTTGTATCAGATGAAAAGTTCGGACGAAAAATCTTCCATCTGATCTTCACTAAGTGGTTAAAACCTCAATACCCTCCCCACATGGTATCTACTGAAGAATCTCCACCCCTCTAAATATAAACAGCGAACTAGCTCTAGAGTTTTCTATTGTGGCTTATCAATAGAAGATTCAGCCTAATATGAGTCGTTATGGCAATTTAGGATAGCTTAAAAAAGGTTGCAAATAAGATTACAAAAAATACAAAAAAAAGGGTAAAAACCTAGAAAATACGAGTTTTCTGGAAATCCAGTCGCCTCTCCTCCCCCTCCCACTCAATTTCGGTCGGGCATCCCTCGATGAATTCATCAATTTGACGCTTCAGGAACAACCATAATTGTACGACGAGCACACATAGTGAGACACCAGTCACTAAACCTGAACACGAAGCAAAGCCCGCCGAACAACTGGGCTTTTCAGATTTAATTGAGCACATCAAGAAACTAGATCTCTGCTCGACTAGACTCGAACAAGACCGAAAATTTGCCATGGGGCCCTACTTACAGCCAACTCAAATTAACAAATTGAAAATTAATTTGAACGTTCTTCGCGAAGGTATCAAAAAAGCAAAGCAATCAATTATTGAGTCAATAATGACAATATATGCGCTAAGAAGTGAGCATGAAGCTACGCGGTCAGAAGTTCTCTACACGATAATCAGAAACATCAAAGAGACTACAGCCGAAAATTCAGCTTCTCTTCAGTTTCTGGATGCGATTTCGAAAAATACAAAAGATTTTGGAAGCAACGAGCGATGGTTTTATGAGTTACTTTGTCTTTTGGATATTTCAGATGAACAAATTCAATCAAGGGTAATTAGCCTTTCGAGTCATAATTCAGTCAAAAGTGTCGGAAATTGCGAGCACAAGTCCGAGAGATCGGAACCTTCAAATATATTCTCAGGAAACGAACGCATTGACGAAAGGTTCTAATATTTTTCGAAGTTCAAATAATTTGTAAAATAAAATTTGGTTTAAGCCTGCCGAAAGTTATAATTAGCAAACTTGGTTGTTCTGAAGGCAAAAATTAAAGTTAGAAAAAATTAATATTGCTTCTGAAGAATGTTGCAAGTGAAAAATGTAAACAAGTGACCAGTTACGGATCGTTGTTTTCTTTTCAGTTTTTCAAAGGCTACGGTGCCGTTTTCTTTGATGCAATTCGGTTGCCTTGCGAGCCCAGAATTAAAAATTTTATAACTTGACTCAAACTGCAAAAATTATCTCCTTATTTACTGAGAACGTGTTAATTTTAAGCGAGTAGGTTCAATAGCCTAGGAAGCTCAATCATTCGATCAAAAAGTTGTTGTTCCGACTTTCGATGCGAAAGTAACGGAATATTTGTGCTCGGGGTGGGTTTTTTTTTCTTCAGACAAATTTCGACTTCTTAACTAGCCATTTTTGACGGAATTTTTTTTGTATCATTCGAAAGGTATTGTTGTCCTGAGCTCAAATTTGAAAAGATATTTTACCTGTGGTCATTTTTCGTAAAGTTATGGGTGTTTAAAGATTGGCATTTTGGCCAATATGGGACAATTAACGCGCGATATATTTCGCGCTATTAACGCGTAAGCGGAGAGTTAATCCGTGTTAGAAATCGTTTCAAATTGGTTGAAAATAACTTATTTGCCATAATTGATTTATTTCAAGGAGCGAGATCTATCTTTTTGTACTTTATATGGCGTGTGGGGGGATGATTTTCATAAAAAGTTTTAAATTTTAGGAAGTTTTTTTTTTCATTTTGTTTTATTTCATTTAATTTTTCCATGATGTTACTGCTCCATAGACCTTAAGAGGCAGTCGGAACATTCAGGGCCTCGCCCTGATACGAGCAGTCTTGTTATATTTTACTGTTCAATTACTCCATTGAAGCGTACGAGATTATTTCAAAAAAATATAGAGGAAGATAGCTTGGAAAAGTTCATAATTTGCATAGGCATACTGCTAATTCTAGTTGATAATTTTTCAAAAAAGTTAGTTTCTATTATATTACTTTGCTCAGAAAGAAACGAAACATTTTTTTCGAACCATACACATTCAGTTGAAAGCTTAAGGAGATTGTGAAAACGTCATGCTCTTTGTACTAGCTATTGAGAATACACTGAACTGGCATGAACTAATAGGAATATACAAAAGCACACACAACCTTTCTTTGAAGTTAGATCAAGTTGGTTTGACCAAAAGAAAAAACAAATTTAGGAAAATCAAATACACTTGTTCTTTCGTATGTTTCTATAGGATAAAATTGAACTTAACTTTGTTATAAATTATGACAAGAACGCACAAAACCTGACAATTCCTATTAATAGTTGATTTACCTCAGCTTATTTCTGGTGATGATGAGAGAAAATCAAAGAAAGTTATAGTTTTTCTCAAAACAAAGAGTTTTCTCGATACAACAAAAAATGGAAATGTTTAAATAAAATTAAGTTAAGACTGAACGTGATGTAACATAACATATCATCCGATTCAAACCGATGACTAATATTGATATTGGCCGAAAATAAAAACGATAGAAAAATGCAAAACTTTCAAATTGTCACTGACTTCCGCCGAATTGGAACAGTTCAAGCTTTTGTTATGAAAGAAGCAAAAAATTGCTTCATTTAGTTCATTTCAATTGAATGGCAATTGATTTTTTTTAGATTGACTTTCGACTAATTTTGTTTTTGGCCTTTCGCCGACGAGTTTTTCGTCCATTCGGTCCTTCGCGCATGAGAATAGCACCCTAATAAACTAGTGAAACATAGTTCAAGTCTGATAAATCACCAATAAGCTCAATCTGAAAATAAGGGCAACTGACGCTTAACAAATTAGTTCTGAAGCAGTCAAACAACTACGCTTTTTAATCATCAACCTTAATTATTCTATCGGTTTATCTTACTATCTTACAATGCTTGCTGCATAAAAACCCATAAATAGAAACTGTGCATTGAGCGAATGAATTGAAAAAAGTGACACCGTTTCATACCACAAGCTTTGCGTATGCAAGAGCTTGCTATAGATTTTAACGCATGTATCGCAAACGCTAAACAAAAAATACCTAAAAAAGTTTACTTTATTGAATAATTGATTACATAGTTTTTAGTAGAGAACTAATAGAAAAACAGAAGTTTAACCATTAAACCTAAAATAACTGCTAGTAATTTTTTCGGTCAGAACAACCAACAGTTTTAAGCATCCAACTTTTGATTCCATTGGGCAATCTCCCCTCTCCCTCCCTCCGGCAAAAACGGTAGAATTTTATAAAAGGCGTTACCTAATGCAATCAGATGGTTATTATGTGAAAAGCACGCAATCCACTGACAGATTGAAATTTATTTTAAATGAGAATTTAGATTTTTAATTTTGTTTGCGCGATCATTTCTTCGAGGAAAGCAATTTCGCTAAGTTGGTGTTCTTTGTATCTGATATCTAAAATCTTTCTCCGCTAAACCGTAAAAAAAGTACGCTAGAGCAAATTCTTTTTCCATTTAAGACAGAAAAAGCTTGTTTAATATGCATTTTTAGTTCACTTTGTTTTCACTCTGAGTGTTTTCTGAGTTTTGATATTGTAATTGATGGTGTTCAATATTCGTGGGAGAATCTGGCTCATGAGTTCATCAGTCAATCTATTTTCAAGCAGACTCAAGTATCTATAAATTTTTTTAAAAAAATCTAAATTCCAAAAACACGCTAAAAAACTTATGTTACTTGTGTAAATCTAAGTTGTTACGATTTAAAACAAGCTAGTGTAAGCTTTTAAGCCCTTGAAACAAACTATTGCAAGCCTGCTATCCAGCTTGATTCTTTCGAAGTGGGACGAAAAACCAAACATTTCAAACCTCGTTTTCTCGACACTGAAAACATTTTGATTTATTAATGTCTTTCGAATAAAGAATGAAAGCTCTTTAATATGATATATCACTCGACCCATTCCGTTGATTATTTGTGGAACCTAAATTAGCGTGGAAAAAAAAAACTGAAACACTTTCGAATACAAAGTACCCTCCCCATTTTTCAAATGATCGGAAAAAAAAGGTTTGATTAAAATCCACCAATAAAAATACTCCATACATAAACTAAGCCGGTCAGGTCAGTCTGCATGTTTTATGTCATACTCAAATCGTAACTATCAAACAGCAAGAATTGTGCTGAACAAGCGCCAATTGCATCAAGTAAGAGAATTGTAATTGTACATATTTTCATATTGAGCGGAAATTTTGAAAACGATTAACTGATCTGTTAATTAAAGCGACTGATTTTTGTTCAAATTATTCTCCTGAGAAGTAAACGTAGCCAACTGACAATAAGAAAGGTGTAATGAACGCAAGAAAGCTATTTGGAAACTTCAAGAAAATATAGCTGCCTTTACAGCTTTTTTAATTTAAAAACAAAATATGATTGGTGCTTTTTTGATGAAAATAATCCAATTTGAAACATTTGTTTCTATAGGTAAACTTTTTATTTCGCTAGTAAACTTAACAATTAAATTCCATTTTCAAAAAAAGTCGATCCATTTGTTCGTGACATTTGCATTTTTGCTGTTCGATAGTGGATTTTGCCTTCCTTTAGCGGAGAAAACAAAGAGAACTTAATAGGAAAAAAATTAACAAAAAAATAATCAACAAGACCTATAAAAGAGTACTCACTGTGTTCATTGCTCTAAATAAACACATTTGATAAAGATTGCCAATCGCAAGCGTAAATAAACATTCTTAAAACATAGTATACCGCAAAACCGGCCATTGAAAATCACGAAGGTCATTGAAAATCAAGAATTTCACAAGAAAAATAACAAAACCTGGAAAGCTGGAAGATTTGATTTAAATATTTTTTTTCCAATTCGAAGTCTAATAGCTAAAATTAAAATGCCAAAAAAATTTTCAACCATTTGAAACCGGAAAAATTATGGCGAGCAATTTGGCGAAACTGAACCGAGCACAGACTTGTTAACGGGCCGCCATAATTGAGGCCCGGCCCGGCCCGATATAATTCAAGTCGAGCCCGTTGGCGGCCCGATAAACAGGGAATTTATTTAATATCGGCCCGTTGGGGCCCGTTGCTGCTTTTTTGGTTTAATTAATTGTTTTACTTATTTATAAAGACTTTTTTAAAAGCCATGGAAACCATTTCAATTGCCTCAACGGTTGTAGGCGAAAGTTTCTGCAGTGAACGTAGTAGTCATGCCGTTTAGCACACTGCAAGCTGTACAGTGCGCACTGAAACATAACATTGGTTAGTCAATAAAAGTAAGGCCCGTTGGGGTCCGTTGACAAAAATGAAAACTTCGGCCCGGCCCGGCCCGGCCCGGCCCGTTGAGACCCACGGGCGGCCCGGCCCGTTGACAAGTATGACCGAGCATTATCGGAAATTACGAAACATATTCTTGTTTGTTAGTCTCTATTTGTTTTTTAAACAAAATTGTTTGTGGAAAACATTTTTGTTTCATTATCTTAAATCATAAAGGGGTTAGATAAATGATAGTCTGTGGAGCCATAACAGATGCATCAGATTAGTGTTGCCTTGACTGCACTCAGCATGCAACGCTTAGATTCAATCATTCAGCTAGATTTGAAATATGATTGATTGATATAAATAATAATAAAAGCTCATTCTCTGGAGAACTGGATGTTTTCTATTCTCCTTTCGTTAAATGGAATGAGCTCTGTGAATTCTTTTGAGTTTAACTTTGCTAAAACATTAATGACAAATACACATTTACACACAGCGTAAAAAACCGAAAAAAAAAATAAAAAGACATGAGAAATCTACTTAGCCCAATATGTATATTAACTGACTTATACAGTTTTTATTTTACAACAATTATTCGTAATGGAAAACTGGGAAAAAATAATGATAATCAGGCTTTTTAGAAGGAAATAATTAGTCATTTCAAGCCACAAAATCATTTCCTTGCAATTAATTGCGGTTGATGAATTGATACGCTTCTATAATAAAACAACAAATCTCCATCAGTCAAAATCCGTGAAGAAAATTAAAGCTTAGAAACGGATCCGCATTTAAAAAGATGCCTTCTTGCAATAGATTCATGGTACCAGGAGTCACTGAACCACAGTATGTGGTTTTGATCTC